ACGTGTTACTAAAAATTGATCAGGAGACCTATGCCTATTAATTTTTTGTTTTTTTAAGTAATGAAATACTTGTGAACATAGTTCGGGTGCTCAAATTAAACGTAATGTACATTAAAACTCAAATTGCATGCTCCGTGGCTTTATTAAAAATATTTTTTGTTTATGTAGACCTATTGTCAACAAACACTCCCTGAAATTTGTTTTAAAACATCTTAAAAATGCTCAGATCGTCGGAGCGCCAGGACAGTGGTGTATCTATGGGGAGTGGTGGGGGGGGCACGCACGCCCCTCCAAAAATACTCGCGTCCCCCCACCGGCTCCCCCAAAAATAGCATGGGAAAGTTGCTATAAAGCACATAAATTGACGTTATTATGCGAGTTAGCTCCCCCTCCCTTTAATTGATCATCGATCCCCCTCACCTCACCTTAGCGCCCCCTATTCAGCTCTCCCACTTCAAGACTCCTAAATACGCCACTGCCCTTGGACCCCCACCGGAGCTCCGCCTCTTTACCTCGGGAGTCCCCGTCCCCACCAGTTAACTGGTGTAGTCACGCATTTCAAAACTCTCAAGTTGGTAACTATGGAACCATAATTTCAATTCTCGCAAAATTAGAGGGAACTGACGGTTTTTAGGTAGCATGATAAATAGTAAAGTGCCACATTCAAAGCAGTCCTCAAATAGTTGCATAGGCCTAATAATAAGCAGGTTTTACAGTTTGAAATAAAACAAATAAAGCTTATTTTCATCCATGAGGTTGTTTGCAGGCCCATAGATAGGATTTTCGAAAAGTTGGGAGGGGCTACGTTTGCGAGCCTTAGGATGAGGGTGTATAGGGCCCCGGCTGCGTCCAGAGGTCGAGAAGCTCCGACAAAGTATGTAATTGTGGTCGTTGTCATCGACAAAAAAGTGGGTGTAGTCGGGCGTCGCTCAAAATCTCTCGAAAGTGTTCCGGGGGCGGGGCGAAGCGCCGAAACATGTAACAATTTATGGGGTTTTTATTTTTATTTTTTATAACACATATACATTTTATTTCTCCCCGACGAATTGTGGTTTAACCCCATCTCCCGCTGGTGCCACCCTCCTGATGACGTGTAATCAAACTTGTCTTATTTTTTTCTTTCTTGTGAAAGTGTAACTGTGTGCAAAGTATCGTTTCCTGAATCGGGCTATTTGTCGGTGAATGTAAAACTTGGTATTTTTTTACCGACAATGATTCTTATATTTTCTTTTCATAGAGGACCTTCACGTATACACCTATGTCAAATACAGTTATTTGCTCGGCCGTCCATGCAACATCTCCCTGGAAGGTCTAATTTTGTTGAGTATTTTCAAGTCAAACTGAAGTTAAATGCATAATCGTAAAAAAAAAATTTGTTCAACTTAATAGTCTGGCACACAATCGGTATTTTCTGTGTAATTTTGCCCATCCTATATCCACAAAATTACCAGGGCTTTAAAGCCTAAAAACACATCGACTGTAAAATCTCAGTCTATTCATAATAAAAACAAGTCTATGATAAAAAATTTTAATTTCCTGTGCTATATTTAGCTATACTAAGACTACCAATCTTGTGGCGTTTGTCGATTGGTTGGTAACGGATTTAAATCTAGATCTCTGGGTGAGTCACCTTAATTTCACATTGGCCCAATGTTGTGTTTTGGCAATATTGACAAAAAATTCATCGAATGCTTACTACTTTTAGTTTCTTTAAAAATATTGTTATAATTTTTGTGTTTACTGCCCCCAACGGGGTCGTAGACACTATGTCATGATGTAGCAGGTTTAGGCATGATGGGTACTACTACCACGAGGTAGGGGCGCTCTATTGACAATCGAATAGCGTTCGGAACTCGAACAGAATTGCGTTCGAAACTCGAACACGCGTTATAGAGACGCAGTTACCGTCATTTGAAGGACGCCCTCTAGAACATGGTAGTACTCTTCGTGTATAACGCGGTAACTCCCAAAGTTACTCATTTTTTTGGTGTAATATAGTAGTAATAGGCCACAGAATATTGTTATGAAAGAAAATGTTCATGAAAAATCCAGATACACTACAATAATACACACATCTGCATATTGAAGAACATAAGATACAATTAAAAAAACAAAAACTCCTGTATAAGGCAGTAGACACACGCTCCCGCTGGGAGCCTACTTTTTTTTCTCGGCGGGCAAGAATAATTTGCGGGTTGCCTAATAAGAACCAGGTGCAGGTCATGTCATATTTACAGTATTTCGCCAAATATATAGGCCTAAACAAAAACTATACCCGTTTCCCCTGGATTCGTCAATGCCTACAGCATAACCCTTTGAGCTACATACCGGCGGTAATAGAACAAAAAAATCCCGTTTCAAGCGAAACTGTGCCCTGAACCCCCACCCACTCTGGCGCTGCCACTACGATTTGAAGTAGGCTGTCTTATATCATGGGCGTCGATCGGTGGGGAACAGGGGGACACGTCCCCCAACTTTTCAAACAGGAACGACATCATATAAATTGTTCCCCCCACTCCCCAAAACACTTTTTATCGATCTTCTATAATTAGAAGTGGAGTGGAAAGCACAAGAATTACGCATGACTGTCATGAATTTTGTCTTTTCACTTGTGCTCTTTTCCAAGTGCGGTACGTTTTTTTTGCGGACCAAAACCGAGTAAAAACGCAATTGTTTGTACACTTCGTAACCATTTCAGTAACCACTTTATCAATTTTATGGGTTCAACGGTTATCACAGTCTAAATTTATTGTAAAAACAATGTACTGTACGTTGTTAAAATTGGAAGCGTGTAAACGTATTAGACAATACTTTTACATACTCAAAAGTGCACAATTTCTACTATAAACGATTTATTCCTTTTGTATATTATCATGACCCGTATATACTAGCGTTTAATATTATCTGTATACATAGATTCTTGTTTTTCCTAATTTGAAATATTATAGTCATTCAATTGAATTTTATATAGCCGATATTAAACAATAACTATACAACCTTTGACACGGATATGTATCTATTTCGATTTATTTAAGTAGTGATACCACAAGTTTACAAACTCAAATGTTACGTTGACACATCTCGC